TTAAAAAAAAAAAAAAAAGAGGAAAAAAAAAGGAAGAAAGCGACTCTATGAGGCACATAAATAAACAAGAAGAAGAGCAACAATAATAATAGAAATTTCATTATTTATTTTTCCCATCAGTGCCACTATCAATATCACTATAACTATCACTATTACTATCACTACGGCTGATATCCGTGGCTTATATTTGATGACATGAGACGTGCAGAGCGTTTAAATAATTAAAAAGAAAAAAAAAAAAAAATGCAGCTGTAAACAAAATGAGATTTAAACTCTGTAAATAAATGAAAGGCAAATAAAAAAAAACTGCGTTTCCGTATTTGTTTTTTTTTTCTTCTTTTTCTTTTTCTTGTTATCCCTCTCTCTATCTCCCCTTGTTACAATCATTCTTTTCTAATTGGTAATGCCTTTTTCACAATAACACTGATTTCACTCGCTTATTTATTCTTTTTAATTATTATTATTATTATTATTATTATTTGCCAAGAAGACAATAACTGTCTCTTCTTTTATACACACATCCCCCTCCCTTATTTACATCTCTCCTTCTCCTTCTTCTTCTTCTATTGTTATTATTAGTTATCATCATCGCAATAATAATAAATAATAATGATAAAGAAGAGAAAGAGAAGTACACATATTTAAAAAGAATAAAAAATAAATATATATATATATCACGCCACAAAAAGAGGAATGAGGCGTTAACACGTGGAATGAATGAAAGTAGAAAACAAAAAAAAGAAGGAAAAAAAAAAAAATCGAAGAAACAAAACAAGGGAAAAGTGAAAAGGAATAATCCGATGGGGGGGAGGGTGAATAGAGAGAGGAATAAATAACAAAACAAATAAGTCAACGAGTTTGGAAAAAATATAAATAAAATATTAAATGAAAACAGATCGAAAAGAACATTATCACGTAATAAAAACAGGAAGAGGGGGAAAAAAAAATGTGGGAAAGAAAAAACAACAACAACAACAAATACACTTGCAGAAAAGACACATTATACATACATTAACATATATACACTCAGTAACCCTATTATCAATTTTCCTCCTAATGTATATATATATATATATATATTTATATAATGTATATGTATGTAGATGTACTTTTTGCGAGGAAAGTACGGGGAGGGGGAGGATAAAAGAAAAGAATAATAAAAAAAAAAAAAACGTGACGTACCTCACAGGTCTTACACTGTCTGAACACATGGGAGACAAAAGAAAAACCAAAAAAAAATAATAAATGACCAAGTGAATCACCCTAATGTAAACGAACTGCATCAACAGAAACACATAAATAAATAAATAAACCAACAGGAAGAAAAAAAAAAAAACTCATTCAATTCTCTCTCGGTGATCATGGTCCTGAAGAGGGAAATAAATGACGAAGTTAGTGTATGGGAAAACCAAACCAAACAAAAACGAAATTTAAGGAGGAAAAGACAGAGAAATAAATAAAATAAAATAAATAAATAGATAGATAGATAGACAGAGAGATACAGTGAAATAGAAAAGAAAGACAACAGAAGAAAGAAAAAGAAACAAAATAAAAATAAAAAAAAAGACTGAGAGAAAAGGAGAAGGAGAAGTACTTTGGTGGGATACTGTACCATAAAATAACCCCACACCTATACAGCCCTTCCTTTCTTTCTTTTTTTTCCTTTTTTGTTTTCCTTTCATCGTGTTTACTTTTTTTTTTTCCTTTTCCTCCTCTCTGTCTTCTCCATTCTTCTCATACTTTCCTATTCCTACATTTTCCATCTACACACAGATATGAAGGAATAGTAAAAAAAAAAAAATAAAATAAAAAGGGTGGATTGAAGGGGAAAAAATAAGGAAAGGGGGAAAAAAAAAAACGATAATCGTACGGATCTGTGGTTTCTACAGTTTATTAATACCATTTTTCGGGTGGGAATAAAAAATATGTTTCATCGTCATCATTAAACAAAATAATAATAATTATTATTACTACCATTATCATCATAGATACCATGGTAACACTACTGATAGAAACAAAAAAAAAAAAAAGAGCACGTACAAGAGAGGCGATAGAAGGTATCAATAAGAAGAATTTTCTGATTATATATATATATATACTATATTGATCTGTGTTGATCTCTCTATTCTCTTGCTCCTCCCTTTCTTTTCCGTTTTCTTTTCATTTATTTATTTATTTATTCTTCCGATTCCTCTCCTCATCTTGGGACGGTTGGAGTCACCCAAGCAATGTTTGGATGCACACTTGTGGGCGACAGTGAGTCCTGGTACGGTACCCGTGCCCCTTCACAAACGGCAGTGGAATACAATAGTGATGATGATGATAATGATAATGGTGGTGGTGGTGGTGGTGGCATTGTAGAGATCCACACAACTGCTCCCGTGTTCCCCGCAGGCGGCAACGGCACGGCTGCGAAAGTTAATGCTGTTGATTGGAATTTATCACCAGCAACAACTGCCGCTGTCGTTCCAGTACTCATAGGAGGACTCATTGGGTTCGCAGTAGTGGTAAACATCATTGATGTGAGTGGTATATTGGGGTCCATGTATGGAAAAGGAATAAAAGGCGGATCTTCTCGCTGCGGTGAACGCTGTGTATGCCGGCTGTTTCTTCGCACTTTGCAAGGAGTATCGGGATGACATCCCCACAAAATATTCCCAGCGGGATCCACAAGCCGAATCATATTCTGCACTGTACGCTTCTTTTGATGTCTTACACATATCACAACATCCAAAGGAGACATTCCAACATTTCCACTCCACGCAGGAGGCAATGGCATTTTTGCTGTACAACCCATAGGAGAACAGTCCAAGGCCGAATTGCCCACAGCAGAGTTATTATTATTATTATTATTATTATTATTATTATTATTATTATTATTATTATTGATATTAATATGTTTGACTCCACTCTTGTTGTGTTCCAAAGCCTTCATCGCCCCAGCATAGTTGCCAGCTGTTGCGTTAACGAGGACTGGACTGCTCGGGTGTGTTGTGGAGGGAAAGGGTGAGTGGGAGGTGGTGTCGGAAAAGGCACTCACCGTCAGCCCAAAGAGCAGCGGGGATGAACTCTCCTCATGCCGTGCTGGTTTGGATATCCAAGTGTTGTTTGTTAGTGATGCCTTCATGTTCGTATGCAGTGGACTGGAAGGCGCAGATGCATCTCTTGAGAAGATCATGAAAGAAAGAAAAAAAAGTTAAAGGCCTATATACCTTTAATTTCACTCTTTTCTATAATGTGTGAACCTTACTGATTTTCTTCTTCACTATTCAATCTTTCGTTGTTGTTCTTTTCCTTTTGGCCGTATGTATTTGGGAAAGTTACTCAGCTTTTTTTCTTGCTTTTCTTTTTTCCTTCTGTGATAGAAGAAACCAAACAATAAATAAAAAAAAAAAAAGAAACGCAGATAGAAAAGAAGAATAATAATAATAATAATAATAATAATAATAATAATAATAAAGGAGTCCACAACAAGAACAAGAAAAGAGAGAACAAAAAAAAAAATAAAATAATTAGGAATTCCATTGTAAATCGTATTATATTATCCCATCATATACACACAGAGAACTCATTTCCATATTTGTTTTCATGCATCTGTGCAAGACATTACACATTCACCCCCCTTTGCTCACAAGAAGACATTGATATTCCCTTTTCCACCCACAGCAGAGGAAAGGGACACATCCCACCTTCACTCTGCCCTGCAATTATCACATCTCCTCTATTATTATTATAATTATTATTACCACTATTGCTGTTGTTATTGTTATTCTTCTCAGACTGCTGCAACCAGTAGTGGACAGAACCTCCAGCCACAATCACATCATCTTTTTCTGACTTCCCAACAGGAAGAAGCTTTACAGGTTCAACGAATGAGTAGTCAACACCATTCTCAACATCCCTGCCGCTCAGAATAGCATGTAAGGTGGGAGTCTTCTGTAAAAAGATTCTCTTTTGTTCTTCTTCTTGTTGTTGTTGCTGCTGATGCTGCTGCGCAAGATATTGTAGGATTCTTTCTTGTCGCTGAGCCATCCATACCCGTGAGAGCGGAAATCGACCAGCCACCATCTCTACATCAGTGTACGAGTCATTCTTTTCTTCCTTTTCTTTTTTAAAAGGAAATGGTTGTAATTTCACCAACTGTTGAACAGTTCGTTCCATACATTGACGTGTAATTCCACGAGGTAATCCGGCCTTTGTATTGAACACAGCGATATTACTATCCATCCAGGCAAAGGAATGATGACTTTCATCACCTCTACGTGTGTAGTCATAATCATCACCCTTCTCATTCCTACACCTTTTTACACCAAGTAATGGAATAATATCATTATCTTTTCTTCCCAAATTAAATGAAACCCATGCACTTCTAGACCAACAACAATCAACTTTTTCTCTTTTACTCTTCTCATCACTGTTACCATGATCTCCATTTCCTTCTTCGTCTTCTTTTTCTTCTTTTGTCAAAGAAAGGTTATTTCTGTTAAGAAGTGAATTTAAAGAAGATGGTGTGAAACCACAAATATGAACATGTGGAACTGTCTGTATATCATTAAACACAACACGACTTGTATCATCAGAGACATCATTTCCTTTATTAGGAGATGTTTCTTCTTTAAAGAAGTAATGTCTACGGTCATTCAATGCTCTCTCTGCCTCCTTTAGTGAAAAAGAGTTCTCCATTTTGTCAACACCATCTAAAGTCTGTGGAAGCCATATACTTTCAAATCGCATACGTTCCGGGAACAGCCGTGTTCGTCGCCTTCCTTGAATACCCAAACAATGCCATCGCAGCAGTTTATCTGAACACGACATGGAAAGGTTTTGTCGTCCCTTTCCAGGCTTCACACGAGCCACTAAAATTAATCCATCGGCAGGATGACTACGGTGTGCCGCCATAGTATGACCATGGCACACAATCACATTATCAGTATTCACAACACCAACAGTAGAAGTGTCCAAAGGTAGAAAAGACTTCTCTGTAGACTCGGCGACTGTATTATTTCTTACAGAATCATTTACAAATAGTGAACGTCCTGTTGGTGTTTGAAGTAACACACGTCCTCCGCCATGTCGAATAGACATCGCTCCACAAGGAGATTCCGTGCAGACAAGATGCACCTTTACACCATCCCGTAAACGAAAGCAACACCAAGGGAATGTATCATTGTGATTATTATTATTATTATTATTATTATTATTATTATTATTAGTTTCACTTCGTGTTACATGTACAAAAGAACATTGTTCCACAAAAGGGTGTTGATGAGTTTTATCCTTAGCAAGATACTCAGCCGCATCCAACAAAAAAGCGATAAAACCCCGACGAGCCATTACTTCTGCATGACCATCGCGAAGTAAAAGATCAGCTTCAAATAATCGTTTGGGAGGTTCATAACCCACACATCGAGTTCCACTACCCAACGAAACACAAATAAATCTTTTCCTCTCATCCCCACTATTATTACTGCTGCTATTGCAGAGAGATGTAAATTCCAATACAATACCGGCAACAACGGATCCTCCACAACTCAATCCCGTCAAGACATTTTGACACCATCCATCCCTGGCACGCTGACGGAGTAATGCCAAAGCGAATGCCTCAAGCAACGTACTGGCGACAAGTGAATCTTCACCTGACCCATAATACATCAATCTGCTACTCCATTAAAAGGGAATTAAACAAAAGAGAAAAAAGAATAACAAAAAGAAAAATAATAATAATAATAATAATAATCATAATCATTTAGTAATACCAATAGTAATAGTACGAAAACGAAACAATAATAGAGTGAATACCTTATCAAGCACACGGTAAAAATGATTTTTTTTTTTACACAACTTCTTATCCACAGTGATTTTTCTTTTTCTTTTTTTTATTAATCCCCTTATACCTATCATCATCATCCCTAAACAGTCATATAAGCGATACAGAAATTCTTCAGAAGAGGCAAATGACATTTCGTTGTTCTTGTGATCTTGACAAAAACTAAACACTTCGATTGACATGCCTTTATCGTTCTCTCACCCACAGAGTCGCAAAACGAACAAAAAAAAAAAATAAAATAAAAAGTGAACTTCCTTATTCATATTCTTCATGCGGTTCATTTTTCTTTCACTTTTTTTTCTTTTCTTTGCCTCAGTGTAATAAGGAAGGAAAAAGAAATAAAAGAAATTCTTTATCCATCAGAATTTCAAAGAAAAAAAAAACCCAAATCGCCAATTTTCAAATCCAGCATCTTATAGAAATCAATCCACTCATAGGATAATAATAAAGAAAAAAAAAACAGGGTACTTTTTCTTTTTTCCTTGAGCTTCTAAAAATAAAATATCGTCTCAATGTATTTTTCTTTTTCCTTTTTTTTTTTTATTTAGTTTGCTTTTCTTTTTTTTTTTCTCAATGTTTCCTTGCTTTTTTGTTCTTGGTCCATCCCCTTCATTTTGTTTTCCCCTCCCCCCTTATCTCAAAGGGTGTTTTTTTTTTTTTTTTTTTTTGTTGTTGTTGCTTCTGGAATTTATGAAGAGGTA